GGAAACATACCTATGTATATCATAAGATGATTGCCACCAGTGTACCATATAGAAAAGATGAACGATGCAGGAACATTCTGCTCTCTTCATTATGTAGGAGTTCAAATATTATACTAGAGGCTCTCGGCAAAGAAGGTGTCGCTCGCCGGTACTCCTACAAGTAAGAGCCTCCGTTTCTTATATAACTCATAACAAACTAGTTCCGACTAAGATATAAATTATGGAAAGATTATTCTTATGGACTTACATATTGGCATAACGATTCATCATAAATTGAAAATACACCACTTTATTCATGTACTCGTGTATTAAGCATTGTTTTCTAATTCAAAATTTTCATCGTCTGAATTTGTTTCGACTTTACTTCATATTTTATCTTTCGAATTTCTTGCAAAAAGAAAATAAAGCATTATCAGAGATTTTATGAATGAACAGAAATTGACATTTTGTTTCTTCAATTTTTTAGTCCATTCACTCATGCTAATGGACCTTAATGCCATGATCGCAACAATGAGAGTATATAACTGCTTTTTAGGGTCAATCGTGGGTTTTATTGAATATAAATAAATAAATATTTAATTGTTGCGTGCCATTCATGAATGGCAATGCCCGGAATTTTTAGTAAACATTTCCATTTACACAGTTTGTAAGTTTTAACGATGAATATTTTACGAAGGATGCTAGAGGTTACGCGGTACCAAGTCAGTTCATCTGGACTTGACCTTCTAGAATGTTGGACGATTGCAAATTGATTATTTACATGTTAAGCGTTGACCATGACCCTAGGCGCTAATGGTTACACGTACAAGCAATGAATTATAACAAAGAGACATACATAGACATGAACCAAGCTCCGCAAGTTTTAAAAGGGCAAAAAAGAGAGAAACCATGTTTATGAAATGGACATTTTGGCAGTTATTTAAAAATGACTGAATTATTTTCAAATGGCACAATTGATAATGATAATTACTGAATGAGGTGCAGCAGCGATTTGGTTAGACTTCACCGACTGGTGTTGGTCACCTTTGGTTTGATGGAATATTGGAACAACTGAACACATGTTCCATCATACCCGAGGAGATCATCATTAGTTGATACAACAACTGTCTTATCCCACCAGGGGAGATCATCAGTAGTTGATACAGCGACTGTTTTGTCCAACCAGGGAGATCAGCATTGGTTGATACAGCAACTGCCTTGTCCTACCAGGGGAGATCATCATTGGTTGATACAGCAACTTTTGTGTCCTACCATAGAGGATTACATCATAAGTTGATAAGCAACTGTCTTGTCTTACCAAGGGAGATCATCATTAGTTAATACAGCAACTGTTGTGTCCTACCATAGAGGGCTACATCATAAGTTGATAAGCAACTGTCTTGTCCTAACAAGGGAGATCATCATTAGTTGATACAGCAACTGTTGTGTCCTACCATAGAGGACTACATCATAAGTTGATAAGCAACTGTCTTGTCCTACCAGGGGAGATCATCATTAGTTGATACAGCAATTGTTCTGTCCAACCAGAGGAGACTACAGCATTTCTAATAACAGCATCTGAAGTGTCGTGTAACCAGAACAGACATACAGTATTAGTCCATACAGCGACCAAAAGACGTACATTATTTATTGCAGTGATTATTTTCAATGGATCAGCTAGTCTTTTTCATGTATTCCCCTTGTTTGACTACTGTGTCTTAAGTTAATGCACATCTTACAAGTCATACAGCTGAGAAGACATTCAACTTGCAAGTCATCTTACTAAATGTACATTAGTCAATAAGGCAAGTACTGATGAATCAATTTAAAAATGGCGTGCATAAGTCTACATATTAACATCTTATTGAGAAAAAAGAGGAATATATTAATTTATTATTTCATGAGTACGGAACAGAAAACAAAAGGGTGAATAAAAAAGGATTTGCAAACTCATTCTTAGAAAATGATGTAGGAACAAATGAGAAAAGTAAAATTAGATATTATAACCTGACCAATAGATCTGGGACCATGACGGGTGTGACCTGTCGATAATGACACCTCCAAGTCACCAGATTCTACTTCCGTTGTTTTCAGGACCCGCAGTTTTGCAACGTTCATAATGCTCATTGCTTACAGGATTTTGGAAATAAAGCACTGTACATTTTCTTCAACCTTCTTATGTAAAGATACCATAGTTAAACTTCAAGTTGAAAGCATGTAACATCACGATCTCTGGAAACCCCTCTCCCTGACCATAAATACTGAGTACAGCGCTTCACTATCCAATGGTGACCTTTCAATATTAGTTCTTGTCAGATGATTCGATACGAACCAGCATGCTCCACGTACAAAGAATTTATTAAATGAAATGACTGACGTTTTTCATACTAGTTGTTAACATGTTAGGCCATTATTTTCACACAAAATTGTCGACGCATTTCCCCGTTACTTCCCGATCATGAAAAACAGCACACGGCGGGTGTGACCGGTCGGCTTAGGGGATGTTCACTCCTCCATCTAACTCCATCATTGATGTTTTGGAGGTCCGTGTTTGCCCTGCTCCTATACTTTGTATTGTTTTATGGACATTTGGGCTTGAATACTATTCGTTGTCTCCATATAGTTCATGAAGCAAGCAATTGACATATAAGTTTATAATTCAAGAATTTAAATAGTGAAGTTTAAAGTCAATAATTTGCCAGTTCTATGGTCGCGATACCATGATCCTGGCAGCAAATACAGTCTATCATTTAGACAAATGTTGACTGACATTTCTCATGCTAACTGTTAGATCATTATTTACACTGATGTGTCCGTTTTCTCGTTCATGACATGGAGAGCACAGCGAATGTGACCGGTTAACTGGAGAACTTTACTCCTCCATGGCATCTGAATCCCACTCTCATGATTAAAGAGGTCTGTGTTTGTTCTGCTCTCAACTTTGTACATGGAGAGGACTTACATAGGCAGTATCTGCTGTCAAATCGTGTTATGTTTATTTATAATAAAATATTGTTTAAATCAACTGACTTTGTTTTCAATTGACTTTTGAGTATGATTACTGATCTTTATCTCTATATTTCATTTTTTTACTTTATTAAAAACAAGAGCTAGAATGGAAATTAAAGGAATGTACTCAATTTCTTACTTCTTAGTTCATCTGAACTTTACGCTTGAGGAAATATTTCAACAATACAGCTTATTTATGTCAGTTAATCAACAATCTTTTAATCTAACCAGAAAAAACATATTTTGACTTCCCTTTTCAAGAATTACTGAAGAGTGTCAACTAAGCATAGAAAACCTATGCTATATTCATGTGCTCCTGATGTACAGCTAAAAATAAATCAAAAATTGACAGCTCTTCGACGAGTGCAGCATGATGGTAGATTCGGTTTCAGCTAGATAATTGACGAGAAGTCTGCATCTGCACTTTTAAATGTCATTCAAGTCGTTCCCGTCGGGAAGTATCCTATCAAATAACTTGTAGATATTATTTCGGGTGATTGAATGTATCTCATGGGAAAAGATAGACAATAGACAATACTATTTGTACTTGTTTCTAACATGCCATGAATAGATTTTAATAGTTTGTTTAAAAAAGAATATGTATACATGTATTGGAGTAGGGATGAATTGATCATACTTTACAATATCAACGTAAAACTAGCTCTTTGATAGCATTCCCATGTGCATCACATGTATTTGTACGCCTTTATTATCTGACAAACTATCTCAGATGAGAAGACTCAATTGAGTTTTTCTGTTGGATATGACACCTGATCCCACCTGATGTTTTCGAGGTCCGTGTACGCTCTGCTCCTATTTTGTATTGTTTTATGGACTTTTGATCTTGAATAGTGTTCGTTATCTCCATATGTTTCATATATGTCTTTTGTCATCCTTGTTTCGACTTCTTCTGCAGAACCATTGGGCCTTTTCCTTTGATTAACGATATTTAAATTGTCAAAAAAAATTTCGATAAATGTTTGCATTTATATTGAAATAAAGAAGATTATAATCATTTTAAGTGCATAAATAGTGCATTTCTAATCCTTTCAAATGGGAAACATAACTCAAATTCAGGAAATTACCTTTCGGATATCCAAAAGATTTTTATATTGATTCAAATAAGAACCAAATAATATAGGTATATTTTAACTTTAGCCTAAAGGTGCGACATTCTCTGAATAATGATATCACAAAGATTAGAAAAATAAACAGGCAAAAAATATAGACCATTATATGCACGTGTAGTCGATTGACTGCAAGTCAACGACCTTGTGTTTTTGCCTTCCAAGGAAATCAATGTACTGTATCATTTCAAATGTGACAATAGTGGCTCAAAAACAATATATGTGTAAGTTAATCTCTTCAGGTCATTGGCTTTTTTTTTTTTTGGTATTTTTCAAGACGGTAAAGTTTAAATGAAAAACCAGCATTTATACAGAAATTCTTTATAAAAAATGATCAGTACATGATCTCAAATATTGAGTAAGCTGTAAACAATATATGCACGTGATAGCGGAATTAAAGACGATGAAAATGTTGAATTTATCCCTGTTCTTACTAACATGTCATAATCTGAACATTTATTTTTGTTTTGTATAAAATGCTCTTCCAAATCCTTTATATCTACATTGGTAATAACGCATATTTTGTTTTTGTTTATTGCATAATAATTTAAAAGTAGATCAAGATATTGCAAACTATTTAAGGTTATTTTTTTCCTTATTTATCATTAGTTTGTAACCCATGTAAGTTTCATCAATCTTTTCTTAGTTTGTATCACATTAAGGATTGATGATTCGTACATGTGATACAAACTGATTGTTATATACATTTTTCAAGGATTTTTCACTGTATATTTTACCTGTATATATACCTGGTATATCAAGCAATTAAATTAATAATCAGTTATATACCATCTGTTAACTGCAAAAAACAAATTCATATTTTAGTTTGTATGATATTTTTAAAAATATTTTTATGTTCCTTTATTTATATTATTGCAGCTACCAGTATTTATGCTGTGTACCTTGTGTCCTGTTGTTGGCTCTCTTCCAAAGTTTCTCCAAATATTCGGAAGACAAAGCAGAAATCAAGGGTTGCATTCTCCAGACGTCTCTCGCATTCAAAGATACATGATAGATAGATCTAATTTGCCTATATCTACAGCTGAGCGAAGCGAACCACGAGACATTATACGCCAATCAGAACCGTTTTCAACAGACATCGAGTTGCCATGGCAATGTGGTACTGAATACTATTGGCGGGATTTAGGAGAAATGCACTTTCCGAGACATATAAAGGAAGTCAGATGTTTAAATGCCACCTGTTGGTATGGACATTATCGTTGTACCCCTGCCAAGTATACAGCTATGGTTCTGACACGTAGTGTGGGAGGTGATGAAGATGGGAACGTTCCATACTCCCTTCGACAGGAATGGAGGTTTGAACATTTGGATATTACTATCGGATGTATGTGTTCCAGGTAGAAAATAATAACAAATATAGTTATGTAAATTCTCTCATCATATCATGTTTGAAAGCATTTTGAGTAGGCTTTTAAAAGATGGAATGGATGACACAATTAGCCTAAGACAAAATATACAGTTTACGTGTATTAAATTATTTTTTATTTTATATATTTCCTTAAGAATTCGCACATATAGTATCTAAAGTAAAGTTTTTGTTCTGTCAATCATCTTTTATATTGACAAATTTAGTATTTATGAGATTTGTACTAAAATTCTATTAAAATAAAGCTGCCTAAGAATCATCAATTTTGAAAAATAAAATTTTACTAAGTAAAGGTTGTGTTATTTGTGTTTGCTATTCAAACATGGACATCATTAAATTTATTATCAGTAAAGTACATGGAAAATTGACAATTAAATTTGAATTGATTGATTGATTGATTGCATAGTGTTTAACATCCTTGTCGAGAATTTTTAACTCATATGGAGACCTCACCACTTGTCGATGGAGAGCTGCAAATTTTGTCCTATACTCAGCACTCAGGGCTATTAAGCAGGGAGGGATCTTTTTCCTGCCAGCACCTACTGCGACACGGAACTTCGGTTATACGGTTTCATCCGAAGGACCGGTCTCCACATCTCAAAGTGGGATTCGAAACCGCGACGTAAGTATCAACTCTTTATTTCGCGATTATAGAGCAGACATTCTTACCACTGCGCCACGCGGGCGACCATTTGAAGAGGAAATTTCATGTTAAAGTATCAACCCCCTGAAAGGGTGGTGTCGACTTACTAGCGTCATTCATTACATTTATGTGCTCGTTTCATTTTCTTTCCGTTTTTGTTTTTTTTTCTATCCGAACATATCTTTAATTCAAATCTTGGCTATATACACTATTTTGTCGAAAATAGTTAAAGAGTCACACATTTTTTGCAAAGATATACATTATACCTAGGCTTTGAAAATGGGCTTCACCATTTTTTGTTGGTTTTGCCCCCCCCCCCCCCCCCCACTTTCAATTAGCCCACCCCAACCCAACCCACTTTCGACGATGCCCATGCATATTCATCATAGACTTTTTTACATCGATAAATCCTTTGGATGAGTAAATGCACTATTTCTAGTTCAAAATATATATTTTATTCATTGAATTGGACTGAACAGCAGGTCAATCTAATTAAAATTAGATCTTTGATCCGCTCCAGTGAAGAACTCTTGAGATACCCAAATTTCTATCAATTTTTAAAGATATGAAAAGGGTGATATATTTCCTCACTGACAATATCTTTGTATTCTGTGAAGACCCGGTCTTCTAACAAACTATTTGCATTTCGATGGACACAATCTGTGCACCTTATGTAGCCAACTCTTTTATTCCAACGAAATATATTTTCAAAAATTCTTCATAAGAGGAATCGATAAACTGGAAGTAGATTTAATTTAAAAAATCAATTCTGTGTAATCTCTGAAATGATACAGAAAAAAAATGAATGATAATAAAACCAAATTTTATTTAGTATTTGTCTATAAGCATTTAAAAAAAACTTTCGGCTTTTAAAACAATTTTCGTTGAATTATAATTCACATAAAAATTAACATTTTGACAAAGTCTATTCAAACTTATTGTCTTGGGACCTCGTCTTCCAAAAATCTATTTGGGATTCCCGATAGACTTCCTGTGTTCCTTTTTAACCTACATGCAGACTATAAGTCGGCAGTCGAAGGATCATAAAACGTTCAGAAATTAGTGAATAATTTCTTACTTACGCGGCAATATATCTTCATCACCTGCATACGGGGTTCATATCTCTCAGCTGATTCGATACGCAAAAACATGCTCTACGTACGCACAATTTCTGAAACGAGGTAAACTATTTACAAACAAGTTGATGAAATAAGAATATCACCAGTATCAGACATCATTTCGTAAGTTCTATGGTCAATACAATGACCTTGTTAGAAAATGCAATTTATCATTGTGTCAAATGCTATCTGACGTTTTTCATACTAAATGTTAGATCATTATTTACACACACTGAATTGTCGACGGATTTTCCCGTTATTTCCCGATAATGACAAGGAGCACAAGACGGGTATGACCGGTCGGCAGGGAATGCTCACGCCTCCATGGCACCTGATCCCATCTCATGTTTTGGAGGTCCGTGTTTGCTCTGCTCCTTTATTTTTTGTATTGTTTAATGGACTTTTGAGCATGCATTCTGTTTGTTATCTACATACATTTCATGATATATTTGACATTAATTCCCATCATTTTAGATCCATTTCTGATTTACCCTTGAACCGTCTTTTTTACAAGCAGAGATATCATTACTCATTTAAACAAAAAAAAAAACTTAATCGAAGAAATTGCTTCACCCACTTTGTCTGAGACAGCTGTTTAGTCTACATTAAATTCCTTACAGAAAGGATAAGAGACAACCAGTGCAATTTATTCAACAACTAATAAAATTGTGTATAGAAAAATTCACGAAATCTTAGACTACTTTTAATACTTTTTTTGCGGGAAATTCGATTATCATTCAGAGAAAAAAAATAATCACAAAGACAGGCAATCTGTTAAAAGTCTTTTGTTTCTTTGAGAAACGGAACAGTGTATTCCTGAGATTTTTTATTGACAGGACGCGGGGAGGCGGCAGGTCGGATATAAATGACAATTCATAAAAAACTACAGCGTGCGTGTCACTTACAGCATTTACAAAGGAAAGAAATTTATAGTCACGCAAATGGAAATTATTTGCATGGAATTTATAAAGAGATTAAGAAATGCATCTATCTTTGATAGTGCAAATTATTGTCAAGATTTTCAAGGTAGAGCAAAGGGTGCATTTATGCCTTGGTCAAATAATTTAAAAACAACAAACGGCCCATGGGCCAAATCCCATTAGAGTACTTTAACAGTATATTGACCTTGCTGTTTCCATTAGATCTTTTGTTATATTAAGCATGGCTGCACTTAACGCTGGGGTTTGGCTCTTTTCGGTTGCTAATATTGCTTTTAAATTATTTCACTTTTATATATTTACTACAGGTTTTATATATATAATAGTCTTTGACCATAACACTATATCCCGTAATGCAAAAATTGTGCATTTTTTTGCGCACTGTTGGGGAGATTTTCTTCACTTTCCGGCATTGGTCAATCAACTTCCTTCCTTATTATAGGCACATTCTTTTACCAACCCATATATTTTATCCACCTAACCATTTATAGTCGTCTCTAAAGGCGATAAACTCGACTTTTGTTGGATTGCAGAAAATTCAAAATTAGCGAGTTTATTGCCTTCAGAGACGACTATAAAGGGTTGGGAGGTAGATAAAATATACAGAATAGTTAGAGAATTTGTATAGAATTAGTGAGTGAAAGGTAGTTGATAAATCAATGCTGGAAAGTGGAGAAATTCTCCCCAAAAGCAAACAATCTTGCGCTGTAAATTGCACATTTTTGCATTACGGGATCAGTAGTGTTATGGTCAAAAACTAACATTTAAAACCATAACACTACAGTTCTATAGATAACGCTTCAGTAATATCAATTTGGCACCTAAATATTAAAAAAAATACTTTTAGAATGTAAAACAATTAACTAATTCTATGATTTTTGACCTTACTGTTTTCAAAAAACAGAGAATTTACATTTACTTGCCATTTCAACAAGCAAGCAGAGTGATACGTAGGAATATAGCGGAATTATTCTTTAAAACGCTCATCAAGCATAAGATAGCTGTAATCATATTTGTATTGAAGCATACGAATACCCGTTCAAAGTGTACATTCAAGCATGATGCTCCCTGAGGACAGGGTTGGTCAATAGTGAGTTTTTATATCTATTAAAAACATACACTAATAATACTTATAAGTATATAGATGCTATTTTTAGACATTTGCGATCTCTTTGAATTAGTGCTTTGAGTGTCATCTTTTTTTAAAACAAATTCTTTGATAATATCAAATAGGATATAAAGTTATGGAATTGAATAATAAAAAATCTATGTACTTTTATGTACATTTAAAGATTGGACAAAAGACAGATACAAACAATGGCTTGAAAAAATACAATACTTCAAGAAAAATCCTCAAAATCGTTTAAAATAAAATTTAACTCAACCGAATAATAGTTCTCTGTACCAAAGTGTTGACTTACAGCCCAAAATGGACCTTAAAAAAGCCATTCTGTAGACAAAGTCTGTAAATTTTAGAAAAACTTTTTTCGTTTATAAAGTGTCCCCAGAAATTAGTAAATTATTTTATCAAATTGAATTTATTACAAATTAATTGAATTTGCTTTTTCATTTTATGACACTATTCCGTAGTTTCTAAAGGGACATGCAGTTTGATGGATATCATCACATTTATTTTATGCATTTTTTTGTTGCCGGCTGATGTTATAAATTTGCCTCTTTCGAAATTAGAAAGCCTGTTTCAGCAATGTATATCAGTAAAGGATTGTTAAATCTGCTAATATTTATGAAACAACGAATATTTCCATGTCAAATTTGTATTGTGTGGAACAGATATAAAAAAAGAGGAGGAATGCAGCGAAAGAAGTTTGTAGTCCTAGTAAGCTAAGATTCCCATATATCCAAGAACGCGAAGGTTTGGATATTTGCTCATGAAAAACAAACGGGATTTTATTTCTAGCTCTATTAGTTCTTTACATTTGCCGAATTCCTTTCTATAATTCAATACTTTGTTCCACGAAAATCAGCAGTAGACATTTAAATACTCCAGAGGTATTGCTAGTTTTTAAATTTTTGATAATAAAATATCTACGATAGGCTTTACTTTTTTTTAAAAAAAGCATTCAGTTTGATCATTAGCAATCAACCGGAATATACAATAAAAATTGTAGATTATTCTTGAAATTAGAAAGTACCAAATATTGTCATTTGAAATGATTTCAAAATAAAAAGAAAACAATTTAATGTAAAAATAAAATGAAAAACATTTTGTGACGAAGTCTCAATAATTTCTGGGAACACTTTATATACAGTTAATGTTATATAATTATTGAAAATAAAGACTATAGAGGAATTAACGCTTGCGAGTGAAAATGTTTTTAAAGAATAAATAAATAAATATGAAACTTATTTTCCAGGTATACTATTTTCAAATATTTTACCTATTTAAGTAAAATAGAATCGAAAAGGATTTCTTTGTAACGGATGTATCCGTTGACGATGGAGAATAAAAGAAAAATCGCAATATACATTATAGTCGTATTAATCGACATCAAAATATAAAAGAAAGGGCATCTAATACACACAGTGTATAAAAATAAAGATAATCATGTTATTAATCTCCTGCAGCATACTAGTATTTCGTTGTCCATCAACGATTATTTCTTGTAATCGCGGAAGAATTTATTTTGGTGTAAACTGTCCGCATCCCAGCCAAGGTGCAGCTTTCCTTTTCGGGTAACCTGTGTACTTTCTCCGATAACGATCGTCAAATTTGAAGTAACTACAAATAAATTATTATCGTTAGAAAAGAGAAAAAAAGGGTTTGATCATAAAAAAATGTAAACAAAAAAGAAGCTTACTTTCTGCCTTTGAAGAAGTATGTATATCTGTTCCATCTGATGGCCGCCTCCACGTTAACTGGTATCCCTCCCCAGAAAGAGGAGATAGGTCGGGGGTAACCACGAGGGGGAGTAGTGTATCTCTCATCCCAAATACTATATTTATCTCCCTACCAATATAAACAAAGGCACTTTACATTGTCACCCCTCCCTGGGGCACGCTTTGCATGTTGTTAAATTCATTAACTTTTGAAACTTGACGATTCCTTTTATAATCAATTAAAATAAAGCCTTTAAAATAAAAGATATATCTGTTAGTACATTCAGTTACCTTAAAAACATAGATTCTTCCATCATACCAAGACAATGCGGCTTGTAAATTCCGATAAAAATTAGTTTTACCGCGTATTCTCTTAGGGAAGCCTCGGTCTAGTTGATATCCTGTGTATCTGAATATCTTATTTCCTGTAATATTTCAATTGTTCTGAATACAATGAAAATGTTTTTATAGCTTTCTAGTGAAGAAGTGAAGAATCTTGTTTTTTTTACCAACTTGATTTTTATTAAAATAGGCAATGAAGAACATATAAAACATTCCAGATGTTTAAGAAATATTTTACCTTTGAACATGTAAACGCGCCTGTAACGATCTTTTACAGCAGCTCCGGCGTTCTTTGGAGCCCTTTTGTAGACTTTTCTTGTTTTCCTTGGAAATCCTCTCTGGATCCCTACTCCATTGGAATTAAATTTATATATTTGATCTTTTCGCGTTGCGTACAAGGAACTGTCATGGGCTATACAAACAAAAAAAATCTGTGCTTTTTAAAATATGTATATGTATGGTTTTAAAAAGTAATTAAATCGAGAATTGATATCAACTATTAGATGAATTTATGAATTCAAATCAAAACATTAGTAACCATTGAAAATGGTGTCAAACTTGACACTACAGATGTCTACTGGTGGCGTAGGACGAGTTGGTCTACGAGTTGTCGGCCTTGTATATGGCCGCCGTGTGGTGTACGGTCGTTGGGTGTAAGGTCTTCTGGTCGGATAGGTTCGCCGTGTTGTGTAATAGGGCCGTCTGGTTGTTCTAGAGGGTCTTCCTATAATTACATAATAATAATAATAATATTTTTATGGGCTTTTGAGTTTTGATGATGTTTGTTATCGTCACATACTTCATTCTAAACATCTATAGCTTGGACTCGGCCTGAGAGCAATAGAAAACCAATATTGATTAATAATCATAATTTTGTGAAAAAAATAAAATCAATCTTGAATCAAATTTTCTTACAATTCACAACAAAATCAACTTGAAAGTCATTCCCAACACACGGTCTGGCAAAACATAATTTTTAAAACAATAGTTACCATAAAGACTTTGAATCCCTAGTATATCATCTTTGTGTAGCTTGTAATTTTTGTCGTAACCCTGATAATAGGGTGCCATCAAAGCTTCCGGAACATTAGTATGACTGAGACCGAGCGCATGGCCAAACTCATGAGCAGCCACGATCTCCAGATTTGTCCCCTCAGGGGTGTTCATCGTCCACTGCTCGTCATCATCGAAGTGGGTGTCACCAGATATTCCAGATTTTCCGGGAAAAAAGGCGTGAGCAAGCGTGCCACCTGAAATAGGAACACACCATCGGCGATATACTATAAGCAGTGTTGCTTGGTTTGATACAAGAAAGAATATAGCATCGGTTCTGATATTGGAAATGTGTAAGATAACGTGCCAACTAAAAATAGTTAAAACGGTGGGAAGAGATCATTAAGATGTTAGAAATAATATCCTTTGCAGTTTAAGAAAAATGTTACAAAACGTGCCACATTGAAAATATAAGCAAGAGTAATTTATGTACCTGACAGATATTCAAAGCATAATTCGGATCCAAAAGATATGGTAGAGTACAAATTTGTACTAAACAGGAATTAAATTTTGAACTTATTAGTTTTGTCTATATATAAAAGATATTCTTTGAAAGAAATTTCCATTTATTTTTAATTTAAAATCACTTTTAGCTTTCATTTGTAGTTGTAAAGAAACATCTCTTTTTAAACCCATTTCTTCTGAAAAAATTCTAACTTAACAGTGAATCACAAAAATAATGTTTATGTATTATGCAGCATTTGAATAATTTCATATCTCATGTTGAAATTTAGTTTCATTCGAAGGGAATTTCTTTTTCAATCCTTTTTGCAGCTAACATGAAAAATATAGAGAAACGAACACCATTCAAGATCAAAAAACATAAACAATACAAAATAGGAGCAGAGCATACACGGACCTCAAAAACATCAGAGGTGGGATCAAGTGCCATGGAGGAGTGAGCATCCCATGCCGAACGGTCAGTGATCGGGAAATAACGGAAAAATCCGTCGTCAATTCAGTGTATAAATAATGGACAAACAGCTAGTATGAAAAACGTCAGTCAGTATTTGACATAATGATAAATTGTATTTGCTGACAAGGGCATTGTATTGACCATAAGAATCATAGAAATGATAACTTTAAACGAGACTGCTGATATTCTTGTTTCATCAACTTGTTTGCCAATAATTTACCTCGTTTTAGAAATTGTTCATACGTAGAGCATGCTCTTGCGTATCAAATCAACTGAGATATATAAACTCCGTATGCATGCAGGTGATGAAGTTGATATAAGTAAGGGAAGTTGACGATAGAAAAGTTAAAGTCATCACGTTTATCATAGATCTTGGTTGACCATTACCATTACCATTATCGTCTTTTTCAAGTAAAATATCCAAATATGTTATGGGTAATACAGAGTATATTTAGATGATATCAATCAATACTACTGAAAATTGAAAAATACATGTAAATTCCTTAACTGCTAAAGTTGTCATATTTTACTTTTGCAATTTTGCAATTTTTTATTGTGTCCATCATGACTGCCGGACAAGAGTTGAACGAAAAACAAAAGTAGGTACTTCAAACATGGTCTACAAAGGAGAAAAAAATCAAACGAAAATTAATTTTCTCCTTCCATCCACACAACACTGATTAAATGAGTTCTAATTGATTTCTTTCACTGAAAAATTAAACGAGAACGATACAAATGCCGACTAAAAATAACGACGATTCTGTCTGAGATAAAGTAATTTAACCTCTTTGAACTTATACGGATAAGCCCTTTAACAACTTCAGCAACTACAATTTCTCGTTCAGAAAAATGCTTACTGACTTTTTCCAAAGTGATTGTTAGGTCATTGTTTACACGCTGAATTGTCGACGGATTTTCCCGTTTTTTTCCGAGCACCGGCAGGTGTGACCGGTCGGCAGGGGATGCTCATTCCTCCAGGGTTGACACCTGATCTCACCTCTGATGTTTTGGAGGTCCATATTTGCTCCACTCCTATGTTGTATTGTTTAATGAACTTTTGAGCTGGAATACGGTTCGTTATCTCCACGTTTTTCATATACAATTCAAAGTAAGTTGAAGAAAAAACTTATCGTGGCTAAAAAAGACTAAAGGTGAATTTAAATTAAGAAAAATAACAGAATCTGCAACATAGCAAAATAAAAAAAAATCCAAAATTTGTAATTCATCAAGCAAAACTTGCTTTACTAGCTACAATTTAAGAGTGCAATCATGTTACACAGAGAGAGGACAAGTCATATTACAGGAATAACAAATTTATACGAAAACACTTTGCCAATATCAAAAAGGGTAACAATTGCTACAGAGCATGAACAGTAATGAAACAGCGGTACTTCCAGAGATAGGATGATAAAATGTACACATTTTATAAATGATACATGAAGATTATGATCAGAAATCAAGCTCAACAGTCCACTAGAACGAAACAGAAACCTCAATATCTCTTTCTCCCTTAGATGAGTTAATTTGTACATAGAAATACTTGGTTCTAGATGTTTTAAAAAAAAGATCTTAAAGATAATTGTGATGTCTATCTCTTTGAACCTTTTCCCCAAATAATTTAGTTTTTCAATTAATACAAAAAATTAAAACAGAAGTCTACAGAGTCAATACCAACTTACTAAACTTTAAATAAAGAACCAACTTACTTTAGAAACTTTAAATAAAGACCAAAGAAAATTCGAAGGGACAACCAAAAACCGAATATACGAGGGGTGATCAAAAAGTTCGCGAACTAATTGATTAACTTCCGTAAAAGAAACAATATTTGGTTTCAATGTTGATTATATTTTAAATTAGTCCTCTCCAATTTTAATGCATAACAACCACCGTTCTGCTCATGCGCAAATCACGTAATATAGGCGGTCACGTGACCCCTTTCGTAGCGTTCTGTCACAAAATCCGAAAGATTTTTCTGAGTTTTATATTTCTTTCCATGTAAGTTAATTTTTATAACAAGAACAATTTATTTGTCAGAAATTGTCAAATCTCGGCGACAGAATGGGTGGATAAGAATATCCTCTCCAAAAATAAGCATGGCGACCATCAAAACCCAAAGTCTCGGGAAACGTTTATTCAAGGTGGATAACCAAAAACAGAATATATAATGTTTAAAATTAGTAAAATATCTTAATGTTTAATAATCATATTATTGTTCAAATATTTATCTTCCAAAGTGTAAATTGGAGGTCTTTGATAGCAAATTGTTCAAACTTGCTTTCACCGGGCAACATAACAAGTATCATTTTCAAACATCTGCCTTCCTTCACTAAAACGATCAATCCAATCATTGATTGAATTTATAGGAAGTCATTTGTCTTAATAAACTATGTACAAATTATTACATGCTACTGCAAAGCGGTTTCTAAGATATACCAAAATAGACAACCATTTTTCGTTACATGTCTGTCACAACACAATTTTTGCAAATTTATAGAAGTTGTGTATGGCTATGCGTGTACCAAATATGAATTGTGGTTTTGTAGATATAAGATGGAACTGTATAAGTTAAAAAATATCTTAATGCTGATAAAACTTTTTAGATTCGATTAGTCGTTAAGTTAACTGTCTAGAATATATTTATTTCCTGGATATTCAGAACAAAAATATTTAACATGTCTGCAACACAACTTTTGAAATTCCAGAGGCTAAAATACAACGTTTTACACATTTTCATCTGCAAAACAGGCTTGAAATGTACTTTCTCATAGTGAGTACAGAGTAGAGATATGGCTTTTCTGTCTCAAATAAATTTGACCTTTGTCAACTATCATGGTGATTTACTATTATTGTCTTGGAACAGCTGTCTTTTTGTTTTATATAATATATCGATAAGATACAAAACATACTTATATTATTCTCAATTCAGGGGATAAACAACAGCAAAAACACAATTCACATGACATTACAAATAAAATACAAATCTAAGCGTATAAATTAAAGCAATATGAGCTGCATTATTGAGGGAAATTACATATAAATTTCTTATATTTATGATCAAATAATAAAATCAAAATAAAAATAAGATTGAAATAGTGAATATATAGCATTATATGAGAAATCAATAATGTACAGGACGACAGTAATGCCATTTTGCTTCAATTAAAGCTCATAAAAAGTTCTTCCATCGCAATTATGAAAAACAGAAGTTTATAAATGTCCTATTTTTCTATCATTGAAATAGTTGATTACAAATTTGCAGCAAATTTTTCTGATGTCAAACTTGCAGCTCATATATTATAAAAACATAATGATTGAAGTGAATTACTTATTGGTCTTAGCTAATGAGTGAATATTTACTTCTGGCGTAAACTTGGCCGTCATGTGACCTTACAGATAAAATATCTTCTTTTAACATATAAATTCATGATATATATAAATTCATGAAATATTAATAAATTAATGATAAAAGAGAACTACTTATGAATCTTAGATAATGAGTAAATGATATTTACTTCTGCCGTCGAATGGGCTGCCGTCTCTATGGTCATACCGCTTAAAGTCTATAAGGATGTCTGCGTCACCTCTGACCTCTCGGAAAGTCAAAGGACTTACCGCGCTCCACTTGTTGAAGGCGTTGATGAAAGCTCGTCTGAAAATTTAAAAAAATTCTGATATTGATTTCGTTTCTGTTTAAATAAAATGAATCAGTAAAGATTTTGGACGTTCACAAAATTCAAAAGCAGACCTTTGTATGGAGCTAGATAGTGGATTCGTCCGTGTGTATCCAACAATTTTCCAAGTAACCTCATTTTTTGGCCATTTCAAACCTGTAGAAGATAAGAGTGCCTTTAATTATGTAGGATGAAAGCATTCATTATGTTGATATAATTAACTAAAATGACAATCAAGATGAAAATACACGTAAGTCACAAAATGGTAAAAGCAGTCCCTGCTACTGAGATTTTTAAATGATATTCTGAATTCAACATTGTGAGTAATATGTCAGAAAAAAAAATCATTTTTTAATTTTTTTCTTTCACGAACCTGTAAACCCTCTTGATAAAAAGGCGAGGTTAAAACACTGATCGACCAAAACAAAATAAATAAAAAAAAAAAAACGATTATCTGAATAGGCCATAAAACACGCAATTCTAAAAATTCCAGAAGCAAGATTAGGTGCCTAAGAGGTCACACTAGGAAGCCCCACCTAATGTCATTTTGACGTAAAATTCCGTATGAAAATAGAATCTATTGGTAGCCTGTCTTGCTTTAAGGTCCATCTTTCTCAGAGCATGCGCTTGAGAATCAAAAAGTTAAGAGATGTAAAGAGGAGAGATGGCAAAGATGAGGAAATAAAAATATTTTGAAACAGGAGAGATGGCAAATGAAAGGAATTGAGAAATAAATTCCTTTATTGATGCTTTACAACTTTAGTTTATATAATTAAAATTTTTAATAAAACATTAAAATTTGAAAGAGGAGAGATACATGTATCCTTAACCAAGATTTTGATTTTTAATTATTTAAAGTTGTATGATTTCAATTGTGAAAACATATGTATATGCTAAAGCCGTAAAGTAGGGAAGTTGAAAGTGATTATGACGTCATAATGGCAGCATTGATAGTTAAGATTTCGATTTTTAATTATTTAGAGTTGATACATGTAATGCAAACCTAGTGGAATGAAAAAGGTGCTGCATTGATAGTTGAATATGTATGTAAAAACAAAAAAATTTTTGGTATTTTTGGACCTATTTTGAATGAAACAAATGAAGATAACGAACAGTATTCCAGCTCCTCGAAAGTCCATAAAACAATAAAAAAAAAATAGGAGCAGAGCAAACACGGAACTCCAAAACATCAGAGGTGGAATCAGGTGCCATGTAGGAGTGAGATTCCCCTCCCCACCGGTCACACCCGCCGTGCGCTCCTCGTCATGATCGGGAAATAACGGGAAAATCTGTCGTCAATTCAGTGTATAAATAATGGACTAGCAATTAATATGAAAAACGTCAGTCAGCATTTGACTCGATGATAAATTGTATTTGCTGACAAGGTCATTGTATCAACCATAGAACTTACGAAATGATGATTTTAAACGAGCCTGCTGAAATTCTTGTTTCATCATCTTGTTTGTCAATAATTTACCTCGTTGTAGAAAATTATTTGTATCTAATCAACTGAGATATGCAAACTCCGGGGACCTATGCAGGTGATGAAGGTATATTGCTGCATAAGTAAGGGAAGTTAACGATAGAAAAAGTTAAAGTCATCACGTTTATCATAGAGCTTGGTTGTTAGATTACCATTACCGTCTTTTTCAAGTAAAATATCTAAATATGAAACAGATGTGTCAAACACTGTGGTATCCTTTATCTCAAGCTCACCAGGATACTAGTATATCGTATCGACATAAAAATGGAAATTCCCATTGTTAATTGACAGTACATCATCGATATATCTAAATGTCGAGTTAGGCCACGGCAAGCGTTTTCTTCTTTTCGCGCATATTATTTTGCACAAATTCTGCTTCGTATGAATACAAAAATACGTGTAAAATATGCAAATATAAATACGAAGAGATTGTAAACTGTCGATTGATCCATTTTCTCCATCAGGCCTTAAGGGTGGTAGTAAAGTTCTAAATGCTAGTTGTACATTTACAACGATCCTTCTGTAGAAAGTGAAGGTAATGGTATAGAATGAAATCACAAAAAAAGCTTCGAATTGTTTGAGTATTGGCTTCTAATCAAAGTATTTTATGTAAAATTTGTGCATTTAAATAAAGTATCTTACTTTTCATCAATATAAATTTTAAATTATGAATGGGAGTGCAAAGTGTTAGGAATACAGAAAACCAAGTTTTGTACTAAACATGCAAGTCATTTTTACCCACATTTGGTAAAAGATGTTAAAGGAAATGAAAGTAAGAATCTTAATTGCACATCTTTACAACACCGTCGATCATATTTCAAGAGATGATTTGCTACGGCAAAAAGCGAGTTCAGGAAAGTATGTTTTTGAAGAAAAAAGGGTTCTTTCTCAAATCACTCCTCTCCAAGGTGAAAATGGAATTCGAACACCATAGAGTATACTCAAATTACATGTATTTTCCAAAGTATAAATAGGCTACTGCAAAAATGTAAGAGAGGTTTAGGAAACAAGGTTGTTGTTTTTAAAAATGTTAATTTTTCAACTCGTTTTTACCCCGAGGGTAAACAATAAAATTTTTTTTCTATTTTTTATACATCAGGACATCAAAAATAAATTCAAAAGGATGACTGGGCTCCTGTAAAAACTTTTTAACCCCTAATCATCACTAATCATATTTCAAATTATGAATGTTCTTAAAAAAAGAGGAGACATATGAAAACAAAGTAATTAAGTAATTAAGGAAAATATTTTTTTTTTCACCAAATGCCCTCTAGAAAAAAAAAAATCGATATTCAAATATATATATTTTGCACATCTCCTGGACACAAAACTAAATTCCAAAATATGAATGGGCTACTGCGAGAAATGTAGAAGTTCAAGAAAGCAGATTTAATTAGAAAACGGAAGTTATGAAACCCAATGTCCATTTGCCTATTCAAATACCATGGTACCTGATCTGATCTCTGATATTTTAAGAGGACGTTCGATTTGTGTTGAAAAAAATTTGGGGTTCCGGTTGATAATTGATTCTTGCCTTTACATTTTATTCAAAAATATGATAAGGCTGCTTAAAATGTAGAAGTAGATTTGGGAAGAAATTACTGTGATAGGATATCAAGAATATACACGTTCTTACTTCAGAAAGTACCGAAATATTAATAATTTCTCCAAATATCTAATAAGTGTGCCGTTATTACACACTGAATTGTCTACAGATTTTCTCATTATTTCTCGATCATGAGAAGGAAGGCAGGGGAAGATGGCTTTAAATACGTCCTTGTTTGCTCTGTTCCTGAATGTTATTATTTGATTGAAATTCTGAACTTGAAAACCAAACCTCCATATATTTCATTGGCAAGTTGAACTACTCAGAAAATCCAAACAGGACAAGTCAATACAAAAAATATATTACATTTAGCGATGTCTTCTATTTCGCGATTTTGGCTGATAGCAGAATTTTTGGCTGAATACAATATCTTTTTTAGCAGAAACAAATCTTGCTGTTTCCGAACGAACGCAAAGGGTAGAATTTAAATATTGAGCCTGTATATCGTTAAACTTCTTGAATTATATATAAATTATGAAAAAGTAATTACATACATTTTCGACTTTTTATCATGTGTTAGATTTTACCTAATGTTTTAAATTCTTCTGGCCTCAGTTGAATGTTTGAACTCTTTTTATTTCTCTTGACGTCTTTCTCACGCAGCACGTCCTTGTTTCCACAGCGGGGGGCCTGCATTTTCTTGATCGTTTTTCGATCCAGAATCCCGGTCTGTGGAAGACCAACCATTTGTTGAAAATTCCTGTTGATAGAAAAAGGATTGATCGTTAAAGCAAAAGAAATTAAAATTAGTCTAAATTTTCAACCTCTGATATAATGAAGATAGATTAATCTGCCAGCCCTCGTAGCATTCCTACGAAAATTAATGAAATTTCTAATCATGAGAAATCTGATTCATTCGACTTTTTACACCTTACTAGATGATATGATGAATATGTGAAAATCTAAAACAAAAATGAATCATGGCAAGCGTCAAAACGTGATTCGACGAGATTTACTGGCTGTCCGCATTGTTAACCGCAATGAAAGTCCATTAATCTACAAACTAGAGTAAAAGTACAACAGTACATCTCATATAAAATGTTCTACTTGTAAGCCTCGTCCGTTCAACCTCTGAAAAGTACAGACCCCAGATATTCTCCTGGGTATACAGGGGTTGAAGAAATAGATTTAAGAATTAACTCGCCAATCCGAAATTCCATGGTTTACTTTGGTAAGTAAATAATACATTCAATGAATACTAGTACTGCCAATAAATATGATTGTCATGTATTATAATTTCGTCAATTTATTTGAAGTTATTTCTGTGTAAAAAGAAATCACTAAATTTTAAAATATGATTATGTCTTTGCTACATATTTAGTTTATTAATGGAAGATTTATGATCCTAATTAAATAAGGTGTTTGCTTAAGCAATTAATCATTATCTTTTGAAAGATACAGTCTCATAACTGCAACGGTGTGTGCAAACAAATTTTTCAGAACCAGCATAAAACAGTTCACCGCAAAAACATCTATATGTGCAACCAGCATGGAATAATAGGAATCTAAACTGATCAGTACTATATATATTTCAAAAGAGAAAATAAATCATTTTCTTCTAAAAAAAACCTTTCCGCCACAATTAATTCTATTTGAATGGAATTGAATCGCACTTTTTAATTGGATAAAGTTTAATTTGCATTAATGAATCCAGATTTAATGTTAGAACTTAAAAAAGGATGCTGAATTTTAGAAATAAAGGTCCAGACCAAAATCTGCTAAAAAGCTCAGGAATGAACCTCCTTAACTCATTTAGTAGATCTTGACCTTAAACACAAACATTGTTTCCGCATTTCTGCATTCAAAATAATGAATTTAACGAACAAAACATAAGAATGAAATGAAAAAAATTACAAGATAATTGAAATCATCCACATCGACCCCAATATATCGTTATAATGTATATATTACAAGACTGGAGTAAGAAATATTGATGAGATATTAAAATAAATCAACAGGTTAAATTTTATTTATCGTTTTGCCATTTTGCCATTCACAATTATATTTTCAAGAAGACTGATATTTATTGAATTAAAAAAAACATCAGTGACAACACAAACCTGATGGCTTTTTCGCGGTCTGCGGGACTGTGCTGTTGGTTCGTTCCTGTTTTCTCCTCCAGGTATCCGAACTTCTCAAAGAACGCCTACAGAGGAAGTCAAGTTTATTTAAACTCTAAATATTTCACAAAAAAATCTAATATACAGAAATGGTTTACTCCTTACATCTGGACTAAATCCTTGTCTTTTAGAACGATACTGAATGTTCAATTCCTCCTCTGCCAGTATGATCTTTAAATTAAAAAGTAGACAAATACTGAAGAAAATGTACATTTTCTTAAATCTACAACATCTACCTCTACACGAAAAACTGTTAATTTACTGTTAGTTTCCCTCGATTCCCAAATACTGGGTCAAGGGTCCAGGAAGCGCTTTGTGCGTGTCTTAAGACGAATTTCCGAGACCCCTCTTCATAGCTCTATTTGTCTTTCTTGAAGTGACATAAAACGTTTAACATACACTTTTAAGAGTGTTTTCATCGGAAATTTGCATTCCAACCTGATGTGTACACTGTGGATTATAAAAACCGGAAAATGCACTTACATGAATATTGTCTTTCAATGTAATTCTAAATGAACAATAGATTGAAACACATATCCAAATATTTCATTCCTATCTGTTTAATAAGCTTAATTAAAATTTAACAAAAAATATAATCGAAGAGGTTTAAGACAAAACATTCTACATTTGTTTTTTTAAATAAAAATTAAGATCTGGAACTCAATGCGCCATCGACTGTTGTAAAGAAAGTGACAAGAAATAAATTTTCCACACTCCAGCGCATCTCCTTTCAAGATTCCATGCCAAAAACAATTTCTTAAAATGTTAACAAAAACACAAAAATCAATTTTAATGTACATACAGTATGACAAAGATGAAAATAAAGGACACTGCCTGATCTTAAAATTCTATCTATGAACAAAACAAATCTATGAAGAAGACATCTATCAAGCACTCTAAAATTTCCAGAGTTTGAATCAGGTAACTATATAGGATGAGTAAGCATCCCGGGTACAAGTAAATTCGGCATCTACTGAACTCGGCACCTAGTGAACTCGGCACCAGAATCTGGTTAATTCGGCATCAGATATTGGTAAATTCGGCACCTTTATAATTCGAGATATTTATTATTACTTAAGATTTTTCCTTAATATTTTCCTTTTGACTATTTGTTGATTAATGAATTTGCCAAAAAACATTTAACTGAAATTCATGTATTTATCCTTGATTTGCAGATACTTGTTTAAATTATCCGTAAATATTTCCTTTTCTGTTTTATTTATTATTTTGTAAATGCGTTTTTGGTGACATTTCATTTACTGATTTGAAAAAAAAACCCAAAAAACCCCCCCAACTAATTAATTTTTTTAACGGATTGATGCGTTTTAATGTCGTTTTTGATGGGATGATGCGTTAAAAATAAAATTGTCATGAAATAAAACTGGATACAAATTATATACATTTATATCTACATTTCAGTACTGAAATTTCCTTTAAAAATTTGAATTTAATTTTCAAAGTCATCGGTAATTATTATGATTTTTTTTTTTGTATAAAGTCCCTTCTCTACTCAATGAAGAATTTAGAACTTTAATTCGAACTTATATATATTTTAGATAGGTACAGACTAACAAAAATGAAGATTTTTTAAATTTGTTTTGTTACTTTGTAAAGACAGGACTTTCCTGTAAATTACACAATTTAAATCGATATTCGAGATCCAAAACAACCAACCCACCTTTTCCCGACTCGGCATTAAATATCAGAAACATCAGTTTCTAGAAACATGGGGATATTTAAGTTCCAATGCGGTGAAAAAAATAATTTTATAAATACCAAATATTATGTAAATCTACACATAAATCTCCCATAATTATTATTATTTTTTTCTTTTAGCTGAATAAAATAGTTTTTTATTTTGACGGTCAACAAAAAGTTGAAATTCACGATATAAAGATATGTTAATGGTTAAGATAATATGCCATCTTCATCTTCCGTGAGGTAGTTGATATCATTGTAGCTTTTATAATTCTTTTATGAAATCCTTCGATACTGAACAAATTTTTTAAAAAGTCTTACAGGAATTAGGCACAAAAAAGGAGTTGGGGAGAGTTTGGAGAACATCCGCTACGGTCCCTGTTATATTAACTCTATATAGTTTACTATTTGTTGAACTATTCCGTATTCAGCATTTATTTACTTCTTGTGACCGCTCCCACAAAAAAACTTTTTTTTGGTCATCATTATATATGTTACATATTAGCAAAGATAATCCATTTGACATCTAATTAAAATGTTCTACACTCGGTAATAAAATACATCTGGTTATTAAAATTTACAACCCAAATTACAAATTTTCTTCAAGCCTGCTGCTTTTAGAAGAATTTTTTATTGAAGTGAAATTATAATCATTATGTTAATTTCTTTTTATATTGACTTACTGATGAATATATGGAGCATGATGATCTGTTAAAAATCAAATATAATATATGTTTATTTTTTTTTTTCAAAGCTCGAAAAACTTGGAAAATAACCCTAATACATGTATATGGACTAAAGCATAGACGATACATTAATTGTACATGTATGTTCCTCGATATTAGTATATAATTTGCTAATATTTTGATACAAGAAAATTGCTAATTATCATTCACTATCATTTTAATAGAAAACAGTTATAAAGATCGATGATATTAAAAATATTTACGTACAATCACATTTTTTCTAGATTCGTGCCGTGTATTCTTTGCTTTGTTTACTTTTATGGTGTATGTTTCGCTGCTGTATTATTTAAATTTTTTGAAACTTTATATCTAGACAAAGATTTTTAAATAAAAAACCTAAAGTGTGTATAAACTGCAAAACGTCAATTAATTCACCCCTTACATTACATTGAAAACATTGGCAATAGAAAGATAAAAATAGATGAAAAGTAAGTCGTATAATATAGGTGCCGAATTCACTAGATGCCGAATTTAATTGACCATAGGTGCCGAATATACCTGGTGCCGAATTCACTTTGGTTGGTGCCGAGTTCACCAGAAAGTTTACCAGGTGCCGAGTTTTGACTAGAATTCAGCATCCGATTGGTCACGCCATGAGCCCTGTATATTAGCCAGATGAACGGAATATACCGTGGTTATATTCAGTATAAAAACAAAGGTCTAACAATTGAGTTGAAACCAGTCAACCAAAAAACGACCAAATGTTAGATTGTATTTGCTTACAAGATTATTCTGACGACTATAGAATTTACGGAGTGTCGACTTCAAATGAGGTTGATGATATCCCTGTTATATGACTTATCTGTCAATAGCCTGAATATATTTAAAACATTGAACATGCTTTGGAGTATAAGATAAGCTGGGAGACTTACATTCCATATTATACAGGTTATTATACAGGTGACAGTGTGAAAAGTTGATGTAGAAAAAGGAAAGTGATTTTGATTGTTATACAATGTAAATGTTAGTTTGCCCTTATCGTCTATACTTAGTAAGACACCTGTGGTGTTTTTATTTCAAGTTCCATGAGATATCAAATCGACATATGAACAACAGTAACTAAAAATAAAAACTCTTTCAAAGTGATATATCTTAATGGTCAGTTGAAGGTCACGGGAAGTATTCTACTGGTTGAATTCTGCTTCATTGGAATACATGTATAAACTAGAGGTACTGTGAGCAATGAGCTCACTAAATGATACCCCCGCCTCCCATATGAATATAATGACAGTGTCCATGTTTTGCTCTAGAAAATCCAAAATATATGTCAGATCAAAAAGTAAAATAGGAGGTGCACAATGGCAATATGTAAAAAGATTCTGTAAAAATTTCATTAAATTTTCTTCAGTGGTATGAAAGGAGTTGTGGATAAGAGATGGGTACCTAAAAGCGTAACGGACGGACGGACACACCGATTACTTTATACCCTCCCGCTTTTCAGGTGGGGGTATAAAATGTTACATAATGAAGGAACACAATAAGGGCTCATCAGAATCTCAACATTTCATTAGAAAGCCTGGTATCCAAATACTTCAATTTGAAAACGAGGAACTCCAGCATTCTTTCAATATTTTTGTAGAATCAGAGTGATATTTCAATGAAATAATTTTATTGATGACCAATCATAAGATAGGAATATTTGCTTCCATTTTTATTGAAGAAACAGTTGTTCTTGTTATCAGGAAGTCTACATTTTAATTGACCATAGTAATAATAATAGTGCTGAAAAGTCCTAAGTTTTGGTGTTACTTACATTTGAAACATTTGGCGATTTAAAAGGTTTATCTACTTCAATAGAGAAAATCAACAAAGTCAGGCAATTTGTCTTCACCGATGATTAACAACAAGAAAAAAAAATATTTTTAAGAGATTGTAATTGTCATTTCATAAACGTTTTATTTGCTATGTCAATTTGTCTGTAATTGTGCTGAACATCTAACTGTATTAATATACAATGCAGCATCATAACAAAATGTATACTTAAACATTTTTCCCTTACTGCAAGATGTTAAACTGACGATGAACGTACACAACAAACATCGGTGCATTTAGGTTTCAATTCAAAGTCTCTTCTTACATACTTTCCGGAGAAAGAACACGATTTTCAAATGTGAAATACCTGTGATAACAAAATGCTTCATATTTTTTTCTGAATTCAATAGTTCTCCACTTTGGTTACAGATAATATCTGCCTCAGACATTCTTGATCATCAACAGATTCTGAAGTTAAGTACGTAAGGGTCAAGTCTCCGTTTGTCTCGATTAAGACTTTTCCCTCCCGTTTGAGTGTTTTTGTCAATACTACAGTATTGTTTATTCCATTCGTCTACGAGCTTACATTATAGTGTCACCAAAAGAACCCAAGTTTTCTTTAGGCTACGCATTGAGGGAATCTTTTAATATTAAGTAATGAATGGTTAATTTAGATCACAGAAAGTTTTGAACAGTATAATTTTATTCTATAAATTAAACTTAAAAAGATTAAATTATTTTATGCCACAGCGAATGCATTCGGGTCGACATACCATGGACATTGAAACTGTTGTGAAAATTGTTTGATAAAATGTTAAGCGTTTAACGAAGATTTGTTTTTGATATCAGTGTTTTCATTTGCAAATGTATTCCCTTATTATAAATTATTTGAACAAAACATATTTGAACAGACGGCCAGATGATCATAAAGTCTTAACTTGATATTGTTAAGTTATAAACAATCCAATTTTTACAGTGACGGTTTGTGCGACAGCTGCAGGTTCCTTTAATTCTAAATATAAATCTTTTATTTCAGAATCATACTATCGATGCCAAAAACAGTTTATCCAGACTCTATTTTATGAACGCCATCTAGGGGAAGTTTTTAATCTATGCTATTTAAGTGAATTATTACTGAAAACAGCATTTTTTTCTCAATAACATAAAAAC